ATCTCTACTAAAAATACAAAAATCAGCCAGGTGTGGTGATGGGTGCCTGTAATCCCAGCTACTCGGGAAGCTGAGTCAGAGAATCACTTGAACCCAAAAGGCAGACATTGCAGTGAGCCGAGATCGCGCCATTGCACTTCAGCCTGGGTGACCGAGACTGTGTCTCAAAAAAAATAAAAATAAAAAAGGCCAGGTGTTGTGGCATGCAGCTGTAGCCTCAGTTCCTAGGGAGGCTGAGGCGGGAGGATTGTTTAAACCTGGGAGATTGAGGTTGCTGTAAGCTGTGATTGCACCACTGTACTTCAGCCTGAGCAATAAAGCAAGACCTTGTTTCAAAAAGAAAGAAAGAAATGAGCATGGTGGGAATGGGGACAAATGGCAATGTTAAGTAGAGTGATCAAGGTTGGCCTCATAAGTGAATATTGAGCAAAAGTTTGAAGCAGGTGATGGAGCTGGCCAAGGTGCTGAAGGAAGAGCATTGTAGGCTGAGTCAACAGGATAAAGGCATTAGGAGGAAACTCCCTGGTGTGTCTGAGGCTCTGGAAGGAGGCCAGTGGAGCAAAGGGATAGAGGAAGTGAAGTCAGCGAGGAGACCAGGGAGTTGCTGGGCTGGAATCAGTACAGATCACGTAAGCCCTGGGATGCTATTGCTGGGGCTTTGGCTTTTACTCTGACTAAAATGGAACCACCGAGGGGTTCTGAACAGAGAGGCGACATGATCTGTCTCCTGATTTAAAAGCATGCCCTGGCTGCCAAGTTGAGAAAGACTCTGGGAAGATTTGGGTAGAATCATGGGGGCCAAGCTGTGGCAACACCCCGATGGGAGATGATAGTGGTCCTGACCGAGTGCATGGTGGTAGTGAGAGATGGTCAGAGCCTGGATACATGTTGAAGTCAGTCAATAGGATTTCCTGACAGACTGGATGTGAGCTGTGAGGGAAGGCAGGGGTCAAGGTTGAGTTTGATTCTAATTGAATTATTAATTTTTAAAAACCCTACTGCCTTTCCCAATCCTACCAAGTAAAGGATGCTGGATTAAAAAAAATCCCAAGTCAGGTCAGTGTCAGTGGCTCACACCTATAGTTCCAACAGTTTGAGAGACAGAGATGGGAGTATGTTTTAAGGCCATGAGTTTGAGAGCAGCCTGGGCAACATAGCAAGACCTCCTCTCTACAAAAATAAAAGAAATTTAATAAAATAAAATAAATATAGCCGGGCATGGTGATGTGTACCCATGGCCCCAGTTACTCAGGAGGCTGAGGTGGGTAGATCTCTTGAGGCCAGGAGTTTGAGGCCAGCTTGGGCAACATAGCAAGACTTCTCTCTCTGCAAAAAATTGTTTTAAAAAGCCTGACATGGTGGTACTTGCCTGTATTCCCAGGTATTGGGGCGGCTGAGGCAGGAACATCTCTTGAGCCCAGTTGATCAAGACTACAATGAGCTATGATTATACCACTGCACTCCATCCTGGGTGACACAGTGGGATGCTGTCTCAAAATGCAAATGAAATCTCAAGTCAGACCAGTCCCTTCTAGGCTATGTAGGCCTTGTAACCACATAGTGGCATGATCGGGTTTGTGTGGCTATGGATGAGGAGACCCCTGCCTGATTGTCGTTGGCTATGTAATCAGTTTATTTTTCAATATAGTAATTAAATATATTTCATCATGGTCTCAGATATGTGTGGATTTTGGAATTCCCCTTGGAACAGGTTGTAACATCTTATTTGCTCCATCATTCCATAATTTTTTAATCTGATCAGTTTTGAATAAGATCAGAATTGATATTAGACTACCTAGTCAGTTTTGATTATTGAGAAAATGAAATTGTGTTGTTTGCACTTTATCCAAGATTGGTGTCATGTTGGGTAAATCTAATCAATACTTGAACAAATGCAAAATTAGA